TGGGCAATGCTGTAGTTTACACGGGAGGGATCTGTCGCTTGGGGCAAGCGAAGTGGATGGACGCTCACTGTGAGCGCAAGGGGAAAAACCGTCAAGGGGTTAAGTAGTTTCTTTACAGTTACGGCGGACCAGCAGTTTTACGATAAAGACAATGACTGCAACAAGTGCATTGACATGGATGGGTACTTCAGAGTACCTAGGTCTTTCTGTGTGTGGCCAGAGGCATTGTGTGCTCACGGAGTGCGGAAAGTGAAAATGATGAGAGATATTCGATGTTGTCAAAACATAGCATTCATTTCGTAGATTTCAAACAGATGAAAAAGGTTACTGATAATATAATAGAACAAATAACTTCCCCAAGTAATCAAGGCAGTCTCTCATTCTTTAGCCACAATCTAATACACACATACACGCGCGCGCACAAAGTATTGCCAGGGCACAATACTGAAAACAAAAGCAGTATAGTGATAACATGTATATTACAGATATGCGCATATCCTTGAAAGTAGAAGCGCATCCAGTATCCAGCAATCGAATAGGAACATGATCGACGAGGAATGCCTTAGTCAACATTCCAGAAACAAACAGCACTGCTCAAGGGAGAGCTGCGAACGAAGATCGCGGTGCTTTTGCATTGGCTACTACAAATATAGTCTATCAGGAATAAGTTTCATATTTTTTTTGGTGACAGAACACCCTGTGGTAAGAGGGACTAATGAGTGAATCGGCTTGCTGGCGTGGCAACGGTATGCACGGACAAAGCACAACCATTTCTCAACCACCTGTAATGGGCTCCAAATACCCTAGACACGACCCTGATTGAAAGGCTCATAATAACAGAAAATATCACTCAATGCACAAGATTGCTGTAACTGCTGCCTTCCGCTGGATTGAGAACATTTGTGACACACATTATAACTGACTCTTAGAGTATGTCGAGAAAGGTGGAGACAGCCACGCTCAAGGGCAAGCACAGTTTCAGAGGTCTTGGGCAGTTAGGAGTCCTTTGGATATTTTCTCCAGCCGATGCCGGCGTATGGGAAACGAGCACGAAGATAGACTGACCGGTTCTGTACCACGTGGTGGTGAATTGATGTATGACAAGCTAAATGTTCTGAGGGCCCTGTCGTAGCGAGTGAACAGTGCAGAGGCGCAAACTGATCATTACGGTCGCAGGAGAATGGCACTTCGAGAAGTTACCTGGGGATCTGATCGACGCCCAACACTCAGGAGAAAGGCGAGATTAGACAGTTAATGATACCATCGGAATTGGAACTCTTCGCTTGCTGCTGAAAATTGGGAGCACTTAACTGAGTGTCCCGAGTGCTATGATTCTTAATTCAACATCCCAGAAAATATGATTACTAAATAAGTATTTTATTGGCCTAGATGGTGTTCCCGACGTTGTCCACTATCAACGACATCTCCATAGTCTCTGCAGGCATAGTTTGTTGCTGGATTTGCTATCGAGGAAGCCAGAGCACCTATGTCGGTGTCCGGAGTTCAATGACGACAATCCAGAGTCAGCTGATTCTTTCACAATCTTCACGGTTGTAGTTCCATACCATATATGGCATATCACCACGCCCATTTTCTAAAAATAACCTGATGGCGCCAGCAACTTGAATAAACACAAACTACTGGTAAAATAATTATATAAATTTAATATAAAGACATTAGTTAGCGATTAAATGACTTATAAAAGCGTTACATTTGCACGAAAGTAAATAAAGAGAAAAGAAAAGTCCATTGTTTATAAACATTATGCGAAACCACGTGAGTGGAGAGACACATGTCGGGGTTTGTGAGGACGTGACTGTTGCAGGCCGTCGTTGGTCGACCGTTGGAGGCCAGAAACACAACTACTTCATTCTCTCAGCCGTCCCCCTGTTGTTGCTTGAGCATGAGTATGAGCGACGAAGACCGGGAGATTGACATTGAAAGTGATGCTGTAAGTGCATGGACGATGTGCTGTGTACTTGTGTTCACATTTTTGCTGACTTCTGTTGGCAGACGTCATGGATGGCGAACCGTCCGTCCGGCTGAGTGATTGTGGACGTTTGCTCGTTCCGGACAGATGGATAGATTTTCTTGTTCAAATCTTGTAGAATTAAATGTTTGCTTACTGTGACTTCCTCTGTGTGTATCCCAAAAAAAAAAAAAAAAAAAAACGGTGGCGTATATAAATTTGTCTTTGTAAAATTATCTGTGCCAAAACATAAAAGACGAGTACAAACATATAAGAGAGACAACAACCATTTGTATTCTTCCTCCGTTCGAGAAGTCATATTAATGAAAGTTGCAATGAATGTGTAGCATTTTGGTATTTGTTGCACTATATTTAGTAGTTGAAATGTTGTAAAGGTTTAACACATTATTACTGGATTAAAAAAAAAAATCTAAGTGTAGACAAATTTTTCAGCTATTGGTGTCTACTGACTGTAGCATCAGCTGTTGTACTAAAATTAACTTGCAGTTCAGTGAACGTTGGCTATCACTCTCATCGTCATCTTATAGTTATAGGCATATAGAATGTGTTGTTTTGAAAAAAAATTCAAGAACACAACACAGGAACCCACATCCTCATGTTTTTATTCATTTTTTTTCATTTGTGCCTCACTCCAAAAAAATATGCAAGAATTACTGTTCACCACTGTCTAAAAGTATATAACTATATCAAAATTAATATTTTTGGAAGCGTACTTTAATGGAATCAGGCTAGTTTTTTATGCAGTAAGTCATCAGTCAGATGTTGAAACGAAACTCAAAGCAGATGGATGTATGTATTTATTGATGGCTCATCAGTGGAGGTTGTAAGAAATGGAGGAGGTGAAATCCATATTGAACAAATCAATACTGCCATAAAAGAGTGAACTGTGCCTTTAGGAAAACACTGCTCCAGTTACAAAGTGGAAGCAGTGGCGCCTGTGGATGCAGTATCTATATCACTCAGCAGATGCAGTATCTATATCACTCAGCCGATGCAGTATCTATATCACTCAGCCGATGCAGCTTCCAGTCAGAAGTGGCTATGCTGACAGATGCTCGCTCTGTATTGCAAGCAGTATAAAAAAGTAAGCAACTACAGTTCAACAAGCTTAAATCTCACCTGAATCTAATCAGTCAGCAGACTTGTTTGTCTTTGGATCTTAGGCTACTGTGAATGAAAGAGCAAACTGGCTATTCTCCGAATAACGGTCAGTAAAGATGGCGGCCGCAAAAATCTTTTAGAGCCACAGTCACGTGACTTAATTTGCTGTTTTTCGTCAACTACCGCCACCACCATGAGTCCCCCATGCTGCTCACGCGGCCTGGAATGGGGCTAAACTAGATGGCTAGGACTCATGAGCAAAGCTTCAGGAGATGCGGAAGCTGCTGCTCGTGGGTCCTGGACATCTAGTTTAGCCCCAATCCATGCCGCGTGAGGAACTCATGGTGGTGGCGGTAGTCGCTAGAAAACAGCTGGAGAACCGCAAATTAACTCGCAGGAGAACTGCAAATTAAGTTACGTGACTGTGGCTCGAAAGGATATTTTGCGGCCGCCATCTTTACCGACCCTAATTCGGAGGAAAGCCAGCAAACTAATTAGCCAAAATTGATAGCAATACGGCATAGCAAGATGTAGAAGGCACTTGTGAGGACAATAAAATCTAGATTAAGACATTCGTTGGAACTCATTGGAACACTTCCATGTCCAGAACACAATCCTGAAGACCCAATCAACCTCACACAAAAGAAAAAAAAACGTATTTATATTGTGAACTGGGCACAGCAGGCTCCGCAGCCATACGTACCAGAAATTCCAAGTTCTGAAGAGTACTGTGCTGACATGCTATCTATATCCAGCAGAAAGATTCTGTGTTTGACCATTTGGTATCCTGGTTTAAACCAAGTTGTGATGCAGCTCCTAAGCTGAAGATTTCGATGACAAAATAATAATAATTCAATATTTACTTCCACCGTACCCATATTTTGGACAGTTTCTATCCGTGTTTAACTTATCTAACATCTTTGGGAAACAGTTTCCTAGCTTGTGCAATAGTTAAGCTGGATGTGGACTTTATGAATCATCCTCTATGGTGAAGTAAGCTAGGTAGATGTTGAGATCACCCTTTGCAATGATATAAAGATATGTGCATGCAGGGCATGAGTGATACAAGTATTGAGGTGGTTTCACAGGAACATGATGTCATCTTACATGGGGGAAAGGGGCAGGTGGTGTTTATAATTGAATAGGGGTAAAGAAGAAAATTATTGCAGGTAGGTTCAGAGTTGAGAAGCGCGTTAAATAAATATAACAGCAACGGTGGTCCTAAAATCCCATGCTCTGTTTGTGGCAGCCTGTTCTGAATGGGAGGGAGTCTTGCTACTGTTGTGATTCCTATGCCTCCCAGTATCACAATGTAACACTGTCATCTGGACAGATACAAAGTGCCATCCAACAGATATGTAGGGTTATTTAGTCTAAAAACTGGCCTGTGTATTTTTTTAAACTTCTCTTTAAAAGATAATTGTAGTACATAAACCCGTTCTTGGGGACTGAAGGTCACAGTGTCTCCTGACCTGTGATGCCCATGTCAGCAGTTGACGTGCTGTAAACATTCTATTGTGTGTAGGCTTACCATTTTTGGAATTGTGCCAGGGTGCAGATATTTACAGCCCTTCTCATTATTTAGGTGCCCAGTTGTTTAATGAAGGATGGATAACCAACAGAAAGACATTTAAGTCACTGTTGTCATTTGATTTATGTTGATTATACCCTGTTCAACCATTCTGGGTTATAATTGGGAACAAGTAGTGTGTTTTATTATTTCAGTTACTAAATGTTTGTTTATTCGTTTCTTTGCAGAATGTGTGATTTTCATAAAGTGCACCCCATCTCAATATATACAGATGTAATATGTTTACTGTATTGCATTTCCTCTCTGTGTTTGTGTGTACAAGATAGGGCATCTCTTACTAGGTTGTTTTATTTATAATACTAAATATTGATTGCCTTTGTTGTACATTGGAAGCATGTGTATTTTGAATAAAGTATGTTTGTACAAACTAGTGTATGCAACTGCTGAGTGGTTCTCTGCCTGAAAGTGTGCTTCTCTGCAGAGATTCAGTTCATTGCTTGCCTATGAGAGCTGCCTCAGTTGTCTAGATCATGTGTAATAGTAAATGAATGTATTAGTTCTGTGTGTGGGTTCCGGAGTCCTATTGGGGGGAGGGGATAGACCCCAGTAGGAGTCAATTAATTAGAGGTTGCCCTTGGTTGGAGGGCATCTGCCTGAGAGGCAAGGAACTAAAAGCCTGCTAAATGGATATGCAAACAAAACTAAAGCTATGGAACAGGATTAGAGTCTAGAAGTGTATTAACAACAAGAACTTTCTGCCAGAGTTTACAGCGGGTGAAGTTTAATTTAGAATCAACATCACAGCACTCGAGACATTCTCATTAGCACTCTGTCTCCATCTTCAGCAGCAAACCTAGAGTTCTAATTCCTATGGTACCAGTAAGTCTGATTGTACATCCGTCTTGGCCTTTCCCCGAGTGTTGAGCATTAGCCATTCCTTGCAGCACCATTATTCTCAGACTGTGGTGATTCATCGGTTCTTCTGCACTGTTCACTTGGCCTCAAAAACCCCTTACAACATCTAGCTTGTCTTGCATCAGTTTACAACCTAACTGTGCAGAAGCAGACAGTCTATCTGCCTATTCATTTCACAACACACCGACTTGACTAGGAGAAAATGTCCAAAGATTCTAACTACCTGGGACCTCTGAAGCAATGCTTGCCACACTGCACACAGTCGGAGTTCAGCTGCCTGAAAGATGAGGGACCAAGAGTCTGCATACAAATAAGCCAGATCTGTAAAACTGACATGCACGCAAAACACAGAAAAAAGTTCTGGGCTAGACCAAAGTTCAGAAGTGGATGAACAACAAAAACTTTCAACCAGAGTTTACAGCCGGTGATTTTTAAGAATTAAAAGATTAATGAGGAACAACCTCCTCATCTACTGGTACATTCCACTCCCTGCATCGCTTATCACATTTCTTGTCTTATCTTCCTACGCCACCTCAGTTGTGTATGGTTTTTTCCAATGCATTTTATAGGTTAGTATTTATTTCTCTAAAGTTATTCTTGGCACCATCATCCTTACCTTTCTTTGTTCTTCTCCTTGCTCTGGGTTCTTTTTTTGTGTGTGTGAGGGGGGGGGGGGGATATTTTTTCATTCAACACTACAGTTGGTAGCAAGGCATCCTCATTAGATGACCAACCCCTTCATCTGTTGCTCGTTAACTTTAATACTTTTAAGTATAGATGTTAAAAATTAATGTTTTCTACTGAAGGTTGCTGCTGTAATTAGATATATTATTTTGGGTCTGCCCTGAAAGTTGCATGGAATGTCAAGATGTGTGATCACTTGAAGTAGAAAAGTAAAATAAAAGCTTTTTCCACGCCTCAGCCCTATTAGGGCATATACGGCTGTGCAATAAGTGGGGTTTATATTCTCTCGTTGTCTAGGTGGTGTTCATGCGTGTGTCGTGAATGTTCTTCTCACACACTACGTCAGGGTCTCCTTTCGCAACAAGCACTTTTATGTTGACATTCTTCCACTCAGTCTCACATCCTCTCGCTCCAACAGGTCGACACAAACTAAACTTGATCAGAATCAAGTCTGACTTATACCACGTGTAAGTTTCACGTGGCAACACATGGTGGTCCTTTACTTTCACGTGGTGACCTTTGGTTGCGTCGTCGTGATATCCGTGATAACTAATGGTCATCACCTATCTCAAGATCCTCGTTTAATCCGAATATCTGGAATATCTCGGTGTTTTGGGTTAGCTTTGGGCCTTCCCACCAACCTTCCTAATCTGGATGAAAATATCCCCCATTACAGGCTGGACCTATATTTTATAGACCAGTCAGCATTTAGTGGATAATGTGGTCAGCATCACCCCAGCCACCTGTACTTTTCTGGACTTGTACCTGATACCCGCTTGAGGCTGGGAGCCAAGGTCATTTTTAAACAAAAGTCAGGCTTTGCCAAAACCCAAACCCACAACCTTCTGATCCACAGGCCAGCATCTAGCTGCTACACCCCGGTGACTCCCTGGAAGTAGTACCCTATTTATATCAGGTTGTTCATCACTTTATTATACTTATCATGTTTATATCTGATTTTATTGCAGGATGATGAAGAAAGTCCTCAAAATTTTAATTCTGTAAGTTGATACTATTGTTACAATAAGTGTTCTTATTCATGTGCCAAATATGTAATGGATGTCAATAAATAATGAGGTACTCTAGTTTATCTTACGGCTTCAGGGGGAGGAGTGCATTGGGGGAGGATACTAGCCTTATCCTGGGAAGAGGAAATGCAAACTCAATGAGGTACTCTGATTTATCTTACGGCTTCAGGGGGAACAGTGCATTGGGGGAGGATACTAGCGTTATCCTGGGAAGAGGAAATGCAAACCTAATGTTGTGGCAGGGCAGACCAGACCCTTAGTCTTGGCTGGCAGCATTTCCAGAAATTATCTGTAACATTTAAGTTTAAAAGCTTGGATTTTCATCTTTTGTGAATGTGGAATAGTCCATGTTTTACATCCACATAGTGGTGTCTTTGTTACCTAGTGTGTTTATCTCCTCTACATGCTGCATGTGCAGCTTGTAGTGAAATTGGAGACCTTGTTGGAATTTCTTTCACTCTCCGGTAATTTTCTGAAAAATCATTAGAACAGTCAGGTCATAGTTGCCTTTAGTACTGATAGAATAATTTCTTCTTCTGTGTTGATCCGAAGATGTAATTGGGTTGTGTCCATTTACAGCATGGCTGTGATATTTGCACCTTTTGGCCAACACATCCGACTTCTGCAGGCATTTGTTGACCAGGTTAGCCTTCCCGGTAGAATAATATAATCGTCCATGTTTAGATAGCTGGTTCCTATGAAAATTGTGCAAAATGGTTTGAGAATGTTAATAATTTGGATGACTTACATTTCTTTGAAACTCTTTGTCATTGTAACCTGGTAGGATGACAAGAGAGCACACCACAATGCTCTGGAGAGGAAGCGGAGGGACCACATCAAAGACAGCTTTCACAGTTTGAGGGACTGTGTGCCACAAGATGATAACAAGGTATGGAAATCATGCTGACACACATGCAAGTGAGCCATCGCATTGATTGTAGTCACTGTCATGCCTTGGTCAGAACTGTTGCACAGGTTATAGGCAGTCGCAGCATAGATCATGGCTATTGCACAGATTATATGCATAGATCATAGCTATCTCATACATTACGGAAACATTGCAGACATCATTGCTATTGCACACATTACATGCATAGATCATGACTATTGTACAGATTATAGTCACTGCATAGATCATTGCTATTGCACAGATTATAGACAGTCATTGCATAGTTTATAGATGTCATTGCATGGATCACAGCTATTGCACAGATTATATGCAAAGATCATGACTTTTGTACAGATTATAGTCACTGCATAGCTAACGGCTATTGCACAGATCATAGACAGGCTCGACATAGATCATTGCTGTTGCACAGATTATAGTCTTTGCGTAGATCATTGCTGTTTCACAGATCATGGACAGTCATTGCACAGTTCATTGCTATTAACCATATCATAGTCATTGCACATATCATGGCTACTACACAGATTATAGTCATTGCATAGATTGTGGCTATTCCACAGATTGTAGACAGTTATTCCATACATCATTTCTGTTGCACATGTCATGGCTATTGCACAGATTGTAGACAATCATGGCATAGGTCATGGCTCTTGCACATATCATGGCTACCACACAGATTATAGTCATTGCATAGATTGTGGCTATTCCACAGATTGTAGACAGTTATTCCATACATCATTTCTGTTGCACATGTCATGGCTTTGCACATATTTAGACAATCATTGCATAGGTCATGGCTCTTGCACAGATCATGGCTACTACACAGATTATAGTCATTGCATAGATTGTGGCTATTCCACAGATTGTAGACAGTTATTCCATACATCATTTCTGTTGCACATGTCATGGCTATTGCACAGATTGTAGACAATCATTGCATAGGTCATGGCTCTTGCACAGATCATGGCTACTACACAGATTATAGTCATTGCATAGATTGTGGCTATTCCACAGATTGTAGACAGTTATTCCATACATCATTTCTGTTGCACATGTCATGGCTTTGCACATATTTAGACAATCATTGCATAGGTCATGGCTCTTGCACAGATCATGGACAGTCATTGCATAGGTCATGGCTCTTGCACAGATCATGGACAGTCATTGCATAGATCATTGCTGTTACACAGATCATGGACAGTAATTGCACAGATCATTGCTATTACACAGATCATGGACAGTCATTGCAGTAAACCAGATCATAGAACATCATGACGGTGATTTGGTGTATGACAAGCTAGATGTTGTAAGGGCTCTTTGGGAGCAAGTGAACAGTGCGGAGGCACATATAGATAATGCGGTCTGAGGAAAATGGCTCTGCAGGGAGTTACCATGGAATCTGGTCTACGCTCAACACTCAAGGGAGGAAAGGTGAGACAGATATACAATCAGTTACTGGTGGCATTGGAATAGGAACGCTTATCATGGGGCTGGAGCGCTTATAGGAGTGTCCTTTGTGCTATGTCAATTCTTAATTCAACATTCATTGTACAATCATGGATAGTAATTGCACAGATCATTTCTGTTACACAGACCATGACAGTCATTGCATAGATCATTGCTATTAACCAGATCATGGACAGTCATTGCACAGGTCGTGGGCATTATATAGATGATATACAGTCATTGCACAGATCATTGTCATTATACAGATGATATACAGTCATTGCATAGATCATGGCCGTAACACAGTTTATAGACCTTCATTACACAGATTATACTCAGTCATTTCATAGATCATAGCTATTACACAGGTTATACTCAGTCATTGCATAGATCCTGGCCGTTGCACAGATTATGGACAATCATTGCATAGGTGATGGTTTTTGCACAAATCATAGTCAGTCATTGTCTAAATCATAGACAGTCATTTTGCAGAAACATTTTTAAAATGCAAGGAAAACAGAAAGCCAGTAATGTGTGTATAGTGTCAATTTTAGGTCATGTTCTGTTGTCTTGCCAGTTGACTAAAAATTAATTATCTGTCACCGAATTTGTGTGTCGTAATTGTAACAAACTCTAAAAGTATGCTGAAAAAGGTGAAGACAGGATTGCTTCGAGCAGAGAGCATTCTTTGGATAATTTTTCTGGGCTAAGCCAGTGGGGTGAGGAATGAAAAGGCAGACAGATTGGCTGGATCTGCAATGCTGAGTGGTGACTTGATACATGACAAGGCAGATGTGGTCAGAGCCCTTTGGGAACAAGTAACATAGTCAGAAGATAAACTGGATTATTATGGGTTTAACAAATAAAACTGGACTCTCTCATGATGTTATGAAGATTACAGTTTTGTTTTGTTTTTTGTCATCTAACATTATGGTTTCTTGTTTTTGCAGACAAATTCATCAACTAAGGTAAGAAAACATCCTTTATGTTTTTTTCTGGTGTCGAGAATAGGTTAACATCTGTGTCTGTACAACCTTTCACTTGTAACCCTTGTGTTACCTAGCCTAAAATATCTTGTGTACAACCATTCACTTGTAATCCTTGTGTTACCTAGCATAAAATATCTTGTGTACAACCATTCACTTGTAATCCTTGTGTTACCTAGCATAAAATATCTTCTGTACAACCTTTCACTTGTAATCCTTGTGTTACCTAGCATAAAATATCTTCTGTACAACCATTCACTTGTAATCCTTGTGTTACCTAGCATAAAATATCTTGTGTACAACCTTTCACTTGTAATCCTTGTGTTACCTAGCATAAAATATCTTGTGTACAACCATTCACTTGTAATCCTTGTGTTACCAAGCATAAAATATCTTCTGTACAACCTTTCACTTATAATCCTTGTGTTACCTAGCATAAAATATCTTGTGTACAACCATTCACTTGTAATCCTTGTGTTACCAAGCATAAAATATCTTCTGTACAACCATTCACTTGTAATCCTTGTGTTACCAAGCATAAAATATCTTCTGTACAACCATTCACTTGTAATCCTTGTGTTACCTAGCATAAAATATCTTCTGTACAACCTTTCACTTGTAATCCTTGTGTTACCAAGCATAAAATATCTTCTGTACAACCTTTCACTTGTAATCCTTGTGTTACCTAGCATAAAATATCTTGTGTACAACCATTCACTTGTAATCCTTGTGTTACCAAGCATAAAATATCTTCTGTACAACTATTCACTTGTAATCCTTGTGTTACCTAGCATAAAATATCTTGTGTACAACCTTTCACTTGTAATCCTTGTGTTACCTAGCGTAAAATATCTTGTGTACAACCTTTCACTTGTAATCCTTGTGTTACCTAGCGTAAAATATCTTCTGTACAACCTTTCACTTGTAATCCTTGTGTTACCTAGCGTAAAATATCTTCTGTTACTAAAACTAGTAACTAAACACTGTTTTTGAAAATATGTGCAAGGGTGTTTTTTATTAAAATTAATGTGGTTTAATTTAATTAATGGTTAACATTTTGCTCACCAACTTCGACTATCGACGAATTTCCGGTCATATCCCTTGGTGACCAACTTTGACGATCACTGAATTTGTGACATTTAGACTGCAAACAGATGGCCTTACCGATAAGTTTTCAAGTTAAGCTTCATCTGGGTATTTTTATTATTCCAAGATGCTGCGCCTACGATCGGTATCGCTTTGAACTGATACACGCGTTGTTTTCAGTGAGATTTGGGTAATTTTCGTTACCAGCGCATATTCTGTCTATTTTTTCACATCTGTTGACGAAAACCAGACCAGTAGTATTGATGACTCGGAATCTACCAGCGAATGTGGCACTCAAAATGATAATTTCTGGATAAGTAAAGATATACCAGTTAATGTTATCGTCACATCGCAACTGAAGTTAGTGACAATGATAGACTTGATGACGGAATTGATGAAGGTACATCTGAAGAAAGAAGTAGCCATGGCACAAGAGACCAGAACATTTCCTTAGCTCAAAATGCTGTTTGTAAATGGATAAAGGCTGCTCAAAATGAACCTTTTAAGCTTGACAATTTTCCTGCATATGAAGAATAACAAGGTACCATATCAGACACAGTTGCGTTTATGCTGTTTTTTTAAAAATAGAAAAAGCAGCTGAAACTGAAGAAAAAAAAGCAGATCATCCTGTTGTATGTGACAAAAGATAAAGGCATATTGGCTGTTACCTGCCATGACACTAAGAGAGTTCCCCTGATATCTACTGTTTATTTCAGTGGTGTTATAGATAAGACAGGACAAGTGGTTTCTTGAGAGCAACAGTGTGGGAGGTGTTGATCACTTTGGCCAGCTGGGTGCAAACTACCCCTACCCACCTAGATCCTATAAATGGTACCTGCCATTATATTATTTATTCATTTTTAGTTGACACTGTTCTGGTCAATGAGCATATAAGCTAGAACACTGCCAACTCTATGAATAAGGTCACAGCAAAGAGGTTCAGGCAGGATGTCAGTCTTGCTGTTATTAGACTTGCTGTTCTTTGGCACAAAGTAACACCTTCAAGACTACACGTCACAGCGCAATGACTTACTGAGCGCCGTTTTTTTTAAATATGAAGGCCAAGTTACAAACCAGACTGTAAAGTGTGTAAGGCTGCAAATAAAAGAAGCTAGACTTGCATATATTGCCCAGATTGCTTTACACCTCTAGGCTTGATACCTCGTTCAAGCTATACCATACGGTTGAGGATTATCAACATTCCTGATAAATACAGAGGGCTACTGCTACAGCCTCAACTCCAGTTAATGAGGAAAGTAGCTCAGACTTCAACTAGAGGTGCTTTTATAATCAAACATTCACAAATGCTCATTGTAACATGACAAAAAACAAAAACAAATTTCACTGTATTAACATTTTTATTTGCTTTTCATGTTGAAATATTTGGTCAGTAGTTAAAAAAATTGCTCCTATTTAGCTAATTTTATTCATCATCAACCATGTCCCCAACATTTTATTTTACTGATATGGAACAAATTCGCTAAGAACTGGAATAAATAATGGTTTTAGAACATCTCCTGAAATATCTATAAATAGCAAAATTCAAGATGGCCACCATGATCATGTGATGTATTTGCATAATATATCTCTTTTCATGTGTAGCAACCATCTGTGATGATGCTTTAAAGGTTTAAAAACCATACGCTCGTTTTTGAATTTTTAATGAATTTTATTAGAAAACCAGTCATTTTGACAAAAATATCCAAACGCCCTTGGTAATGGGAGACAGTAGAGCCCTAGACTGCTGGTCAGGAAAGTGTTAAAGAGCTCTCATCTCCCAGAGGTACATAACCTCAACTATTTCATGTGCCCTGCGAAGCCTAACCATAATAATTGAATCGTCACTTTTCCACCCATTTCAGTCTGATGTAGTTGCTTTCCTCGTCATTACAAACATGTTATGGTATTTCTGTGATCCTCTTAGGCATCAAGGGCACAGATCCTGCGTCAGGCTGCTGAGTACATCATTCGCATGAGGGATAAAACCATACAGAATGATCGACATATAAGCAAGCTGAAACAGCAGAATGAGGAGCTACAAGCACAGAGTAAGTGCGGTCTTTTCACTGCTGAAAATGTATGTTGTCAAATTATAAATGAGAGGTTTCCCAGGCTGAAATTGTCTGTTGTCAAATTGTAGCACAGTTCCGTCCTTTGCGTACGCCGATATCACACCCAGGTTCGTCTTTAGTTTGCTACAGGAGGAGTCGATTTGAAGGGTATAGGTGAGGTGAAAGATGGTCGTGTCGATAGTGGTTTTGATAATGATGTCTTGCTAGCTGCATACTTCTCACGTCTCTGCTGCTTGTAAAATAAAATGTCAGGAAACAACTGTTCTTGTCTATACTGTCTTTATTGTAATACTTTAGCAATGTCACAAACATCATGAATGATATTATGAATGGTGTGTTCTCTCTATGGCTACATACTGTTGAGCTTGCGTTGTGTTATTCATCTCTAGTTACTTTGCTAACTGGCTGTAGTGTCTGTAACTGCCACCTGGCTTCTAGTGCTGTCTGGTAGTAATGGCTTGATCGCCGACTCTAACATCTCAGTAGTGTTCCTACCTAATGTGTCTCTGTTAACCATGGATCCATGTATCTTGTGTGTCGTCTCTGTAGCTTGTTGTCTCGTTTCATGTCTGCTCTCTAGTGACTGTCTTTGAGGCTCAATGTGACTGGCTCCTAGTTCTTCTAGTGTTGAGCTGGCATCTCTACAACTGTGAGGGTCTAGTCGCTCGTCCTCTGATTCTCAACGGCTGAAGGTTTCTCTTTGAGGGTCCATGTTACTAGTCCCTCCTCTTTTTAAGTCTTGATGACCGAAGGTTTCTCACTTATTATTTATACTTAGATGCTGAAATGTGGGGAATGTGTTTTCTGCTCTTCTAAAAATGTCTAGTACGTCTCAACGTTTACTATGCACGTTCTCAAATGGGATTTTCTAATTATATCTCAGTTGCATCAGATTTCATCATCTTATTCTGCACCTAAATATAGTAATTAAATAGCTGACGTTATAGAGACTCCTAAAAAAAAAGTACTACTATGTTCTCTCTGAAAGGGTTCCCAGAGTGTCAGCTATGTAACTACCCCTACGAAACTGTTGAACACCATCTCTTTGAGTGCCCAAAACTCAGCGAGACTAGAAGAATGCTACTCCCTCCGAGACTAGACAAGTGGAACACCTTGTACAGAGGAAAAGAACAGCTTGAGAAAACATGCAAATTCCATTACATGGCATTGGGCCAAAGGACGAAAGCTCATGCGCCGCTGGATCAACAACAACTCTGAAAGGGCACGTCAACAATTGTGTCAAATTCTATTTATAAAATATTGTTGCTAAGACCTGTTGATTTTCGTCCTATCAACTAATATGCAATACCCTACCTCCTTACAAAGTGATGACGTCAGTAGTTAGTTTTGATGGGAAAAGAAGGTTACCAGAACTTGTTGATTCCGGTACATCTTAGCTATGAGCAATATCTGACCTCCTAACAAACAAGCAATGACGTCTCCCTGTTACACAATTATAAATAAGAGGTTTTCTGAGCTAAAATTGTGTCTGTTGTCAAATTACAAAATGAGATGTTTTCACTGCTAAAATTGTTGTCAAATTATAAATGAGAGATTTTCCAAGCTAAAATTGTGTCTATTGTCAAATTATAAATGAGATGTTTTCACTGTTCAAATTGTTGTCAAATTATAAATGAGAGGTTTTCAGAGCTGAAATTATGTCTGTTAAATTATAAATGAGAGGTTTTCAGAGCTGAAATTATGTTTGTCATCAGATTATAAATGAGATGTTTTACATGCTGAACATATGTCTGTGCTATCAAAAGATAGGATGATTTCATTATATTTGAGACGTTCTTGATTTAGCATTCAAATTGATACAAGATGTTCCCCTGTGTGGGTTCCGGGGCCCTGTTATAGGGAAAACAAAAACAGACCCACTGTCTACCCAAAAGCATGTTGTAAGAGTCTACTAATTGGAAGGTCTCCTTCAAAGTCAGAGTGCATCTGCCTGAGAGTCAGATCTGTAAAATGGATGCACACGCACCACTCAGGTTCTGGAACAGGACTGCAGTCCAGAAGTGGATGGAACAACTAGAACTTTCTGCCAGAGTTTACAACTTGTGAAAGCGAAGAAGAAGATACAAGATGTTATTGAACCAGTGTCTGTGTTCTCTGAACAAGCTTAGGTGGAGTCAGTCTCCCTTTGTAGGTTGAAAGGAAATGTGTGCACATAATGCTCTGCTTGTGCACATAAAGCTCCACTTGTGCACATAATGCTCCGCTTGTGCACATAATGCTCCGCTTGTGCACATGCTGAACTGTCCTTTTTTTGTGGTCATATGATTCCCAGACACAAATTAGTAGCCACTTATTGTGGCAAATATTTCAGTCTCATGTTCATTTTCTCCCCCCCCCCCCCCCCCCCAACACACATATAAAGTGCTTTTTGTTGCAAATGTTGGCTCTCTTATTGCTGTTTATAACCTGGACTATAAGCCTTTTTAAACTGCTGAAAAGATGAGTATATTTTATCTACATCCATAGCCAGTTAATTTGAACTACACCAACAGGGAAAACAAAGAGATGGGTCAGTCAGATGGCATAATTGGAGTAAGAACACGGACCTGATTCATGACTCTGGTGATCTTGATGTGATTCAGGAAAGCACACACTCAACTGCATGGCTCGTGTTAATGATGATAGCGACAATACCATATTTAGAAAACCAGAATTGGCCATGGAGCTTGCATGTTGCAGATTTCCCATACTTGTTCAAGTAACATCCTTTACAGGACATTGCAGAACCAACCCCAGTATTTTTTAGCGGTTTTTTTTTTTCTAGGCAAATTTACATTCAGTAGTTTTCCATTGCTTACTGAACAGTTAACTCTTGGTACCACTGTCACAAACAGTGCACGGCAGTCTACCGCCGTATCACCTGCAGCTGGGATCGAACCCAGTACCCTGGCATTTCGAATCGCGTTTACAATGCCCAAGCCACAGACGTTGACAATGGCGTGTGTGGGCGCAAGAGTTAACCACACAAACTGTCAGATTTAGATATGCAAGAGTCTGCATACAGATAAGCCAGATGTGTGAAATGGATTTACGGCAACACTTAGGTTCTGGAACAAAACTAAAGGCAGAAGTGTACAAACAACCAGAACTTTACGTTGTGTACATCCAGTGAATGCAAAGAAAAAAAAAGAAAGAACACATTCACCAGAAGCGTTAATTGAATAACAATAAAGTATATGATCATGTATTTCTGTGCATCCTTCTTTTCCAGCCAACTATTGTAATGTATTGGTTATTCTCATTCACAGTTAAAGCCCTTCAGAAATCCCAAAATGGAGGCAAAACTTTGCTGAGTTCCAATTTTCTCAACGATAATCCAGGTGAGGATGACGACGACGACTATGACAGCTGTGAGGATGAAATAGTTGTTGAGTCGCCTCTAAGCAAACGTAAGAAGATGAAAGTGTCCCATAGCTGAGACGTGGCAGCGTTTATTTGTGGTTGATATTTGAAACTGAGACCTGGCTTGTTTTCCACAGCAGGAAACCACTAGTTTTCTAATTGAGATATCAGCTGCGGGAGTGCTGTATGTGATTGTTAAATAGGTGCACATAATGGACATTATACGAGGGACATACCAGAAACATGTTGCTTTCAATAGCTGTATTCCTGGAATTTATATTTTCAAAGGTGATCTGTATCTCTGGTACACATCAATTGATTACTTTTCTTGGGACTTTACTTTTGACAGATATTTGCTATTTCTAAACCAATAATCCATTTTCTTTATCAAAATATGAAGACATTTTGTCCACATACTGTCCAGAATGATCTTTTATGATGTTGCTGGTATAGAGTTTTGTCCAGTCGAAGTCAGTTCATGTGGCAGGTTTTTATCTTTTTCTGTATGTGTATTCAGTTGAAAATTTCTGTTAGGGTTGAACATCGCAAGCAGCTGATAAAAACTTAATGGCCAAGCAATGAATTTGGGGGGTAGGGGGTTTTTGTTAAATAATTTTGTTTTTAGATAGAGCAGTTCAGGAGAGAAACAAAGGGACAAGAACATGCAGCGAAAGAATTGGCAAGATAACTAGATGCACAACCAGATAAGGAGAGCAGTTTATAGTCATGACATTAATTTTTTTAGTTATGACAACTAGCAAAAAAATAATTTACATATACGTCTACCGGAAATACAAACGACGACAGATTAGGGATGTAATATATATGTTCATGCAGAGATCTAGCCAGGGATTGAAGTGAATAAATAATTGGAGGACCCAGTAGGGCTCGTCTTTATCTATGGATATAATCACAAAAGACAAAATGCAGCTACATATATCATCATTGTTGATGGGAGCAACTGATGCTTAAAGAAGCATGATCATTTGTTTGTCTGTGTTAATGTCCATCTGTCATATTGCCTGTAGCACACTACAAGTGGACTGTGTTAGTAACAGATGGGTCAGACACTACACACTTTAGTGCCATCCATTTTCTGGGCTGGTTGATTAGGTAGCTGGGATGTATGATTTCTGACTTCCGCAGTCACCACCCCGATATTGGTAACGAAGGAAACAGTATAATTGGTAGGATTCTGTACCACACTGTAGAAGAGCTGGCACCATGTTGAGCTGAGCAATAGCAGACAATATTCACATACGGTGCAGTTCTTGAAATTGTGTCTGGAATTTTTAATGGGAAAATATTAAAATAGTTGATGTAAAATTTTAAACTGTGGATGTTTTATCCATGTAAACTGGATGTTTTTAAGGTGGGGAAAAATCATGGGTTTGAGTTGTAAGACTGCCTGAGTCTTGTTTGAGAAATGGGAGTTTTGAAACCTAACACATGCACGTACAAAGGTGCATTTTTATTTTCTCTCTGTAAGATGGCAGCCTGTAGGATTGATATCTCATGGATAAGAGTTGAGTGGTTATATTAGGGCGCTGTGCAGTTACAAAGTAACTTGCAGTTCAATATGGAGGGTGGGGAGGTCTGAGTATCTGAGCAAACATGTGATCTTGTCTTGTATCTGAGCAAACATGTGATCTTGTTTTGTATCTGAGCAAACATGTGATCTTGTCTTGTATCCCAGCAAACAGTATTAGTGAAGTCAATTGGAACAAGAGCATTGTGTGAGAAATGATCTGTCCTGGAGCATCATTTCTGTCCAGATCAAACCAAACAAAACAAGGAGGCATGGTTGTTTTAGCTGCCAGCTTCACACTTTTTGGTGTGCACTTGAGTCGACTACTTGGTTAGTGTTTGCCTTGAGGCTGAAACCTTGTGTGTGCACTTGAGTCCACTACTTGGTTAGTGTTTGCCTTGAGGCTGAAACCTTGTGTGTGCACTTGAGTCCACTACTTGGTTAGTGTTTGCCTTGAGGCTGAAACCTTGTGTGTGCACTTGAGTCCACTACTTGGTTAGTGTTTGCCTTGAGGCTGAAACCTTGTGTGTGCACTTGAGTCCACTACTTGGTTAGTGTTTGCCTTGAGGCTGAAACCTTGTGCGTGCACTTGAGTCCACTACTTGGTTAGTGTTTGTCTTGAGGCTGAAACCTTGTGTGTGCACTTGAGTCCACTACTTGGTTAGTGTTTGTCTTGAGGCTGAAACCTTGTGTGTGCACTTGAGTCCACTACTTGGTTAGTGTTTGCCTTGAGGCTGAAACTTTGTGTGTGCACTTGAGTCCACTACTTGGTTAGTGTTTGTCTTGAGGCTGAAACCTTGTGTGTGCACTTGAGTCCACTACTTGGTTAGTGTTTGTCTTGAGGCTGAAACCTTGTGTGTGCACTTGAGTCCACTACTTGGTTAGTGTTTGTCTTGAGGCTGAAACCTTGTTTGTGCACTTGAGTCCACTACTTGGTTAGTGTTTGTCTTGAGGCTGAAACCTTGTGTGTGCACTTGAGTCCACTACTTGGTTAGTGTTTGTCTTGAGGCTGAAACCTTGTGTGTGCACTTGAGTCCACTACTTGGTTAGTGTTTGCCTTGAGGCTGAAACCTTGTGTGTGCACTTGAGTCCCCTACTTGGTTAGTGTTTGTCTTGAGGCTGAAACCTTGTGTGTGCACTTGAGTCCACTACTTGGTTAGTGTTTGCCTTGAGGCTGAAACCTTGTGTGTGCACTTGAGTCCACTACTTGGTTAGTGTTTGCCTTGAGGCTGAAACCTTGTGTGTGCACTTGAGTCCACTACTTGGTTAGTGTTTGCCTTGAGGCTGAAACCTTGTGTGTGCACTTGAGTCCACAACTTGGTTAGTGTTTGCCTTGAGGCTGAAACCTTGTGTGTGCACTTGAGTCCACTACTTGGTTAGTGTTTGCCTTGAGGCTGAAACCTTGTGCGTGCACTTGAGTCCACTACTTGGTTAGTGTTTGTCTTGAGGCTGAAACCTTGTGTGTTATGCCTGCAGTCGGATGACTTGGTGGCCGCTGCTACTACTACTTTGTTAAAACAACACCTGCTAGACTGACATCCACCATCTGTGATTGTTCTCATTATTTAGGTCATTTAGATTAATTTGTTCAATCAGTGTTTCTCAAACTGATTAAACTCATATATTTTTATATATGTGTGTGTGTGTGAGCTGTTCCTGGGTCTCTGATGTCAGTTTGGGAAACAGTGATGAAAAGCATTGTCTCATGTCAGTCAGATCACTTTGTCATTGGGCCAGGTTTCACCAGATTGCCCTGAGTGAGGAGAGTGGCTGAAACTGTGGCCACCTGTTTGTGATGCCCTGACAGATGGGGCTGTGAAGATATGCTTTTGTGATGTTGTCCGGCCTGGCATAACCTCAAGTGCAGCAAGTTTGCGCTGGTGTCAGACAATATTTGGTGGCTGGAGTTTAAGAAAAGGTGGCCGCAGGGGAGGATTGACATATAAATGTGACTGTAGAAAGAATAATTGGATAGACCAGTACAAATAAAAGGAATTAACCACACTGAAGTGATTCCACCACATGGAGGGCTAGAATATTGAAGTATATTGTGGTGGTGTTAACTACAGGACAAGTGAAATATGTTGCAAAATGTGTAGAATTGGGAGAAGAGATAGTGTAGCCAATCTGGCATGTTGTACTCTTCTCATTTGTAGACATTGTCACAAATTCACTCTCTTTCTGTCAAACATGCCCACGCACCACCATCTTCAGATTGTTAGTATTGAATTTATGCATAGAATCTTGAAATTTCTACGGTGATAATTTAATGTATAATAGATATTTTACAACCATGTAATATTGTTTATATTCTGTTCTTTGTTAAATGCTGTTTTGTGTTTTGTTGTTGAGTTAGCTGCATGGTTTTCTGTAGTTAATCAGAAACGCTACAATAAAAAATCATTTGTTTCCGTTGCCATTCTGCACCTGGCATAGAGAGAAATAGGACTTGCCGTTAATTGGGTATATGATGCCAACTCCACAACTGGTCACTACATTTCTCTCTGTACGCTCAGGACTTGTCTCTGAGTACATGAAGGTGTAGTTGTTTCGTGTGTTTATCCTTGTCAGGGAATACAGCCGCTGTGTTAGCTGGTTTTTTTTATTTTAAACAATCCTGGCAACATTTAAACATGTCTGCTTAGAAGCAAAAATAATGGAATCATGCTTGATATCAGTGTGGAAAATGTGCTCAGACCTTGGTTACGATTTTAGCATATTTTAAAAAATGAGGTAAGATCAGCTTATCACAGTTCCAGTTATAGCAGATGGATGGGTCACCCCCTTGTTGCTCCATTCCTGTGCCAATGAAGACCACATAGAATGTCCATCAGTGTCCCTACTACACTGACCTAATTATTATAGCTCAAACGTTCACCTGTAATTGAAGCAATCATTTGACAGTGAACATGTAGCTGCAGACGGTGTTAAATTACCATGGTTCAAACTGTATATGTAATTGAAGCAATCATTTGACAATGAGCTTGTAGTTGCAGACGGTGTTAAATTACCATGGTTCAAACTGCATCTGTAATTGAAGCAATCATTTGACAGTGAGCATGTAGTTGCAGACGGTGTTAAATTACCATGGTTCAAACTGCATCTGTAATTGAAGCAATCATTTGATAGTAAACATGTGGCTGCAGGTGGTATTACTGGCAACTGTTTCTAGCACTTTTCCCTCCCAGTGATCATTGTGCCAGAAATATCTCCCAGTGTGTGCTAAATGTACTCTTTTAGGTTATCACAGTTGAGGTCACTGCACATTGGACATTACCATACATGCTGTGTCCTCCAATGCAGCAGCCACTCCAAGATACATCTGTAATGAAAAGTTGGGTTATGGTGTCTCCTGACTTGACCTCAAAGATGGCATAGACGTGCTTCCCCAAGCTGAACTCCCAGGTCACACAACTGTCTCAGCGTCAGTTCGTCATTAACTCCTAACCTTATCTGAAGTGTTCAGGTTTATTACAGCTCACCTGGCATCCAGGATCAATGTGGCCACACTATCATCTGACTGGCCCAGTGTGATTCCATTGAAAGAA